TGCCGTTATTATTGAGGTCGCTAGGGCCGTTTTTCCCAATCACGCCGTTCCACTTTTCAACGTCTGCTCCAATTGTCACTTCATTGCAGCTTTCATGGAAAACTCCAATTGTCAAAATCAAATCTGAAAACATACGACGCTGCCTTCGAAATCATGTTATCACTTGAGGTGCTTCAGCGCCGCAGAAGCGAAGCCAATGGCTTTTCTTAAATTAGACAAGAAGTTTCCCGATTATACTGCTCATGGAAAGAAGGGAAACAGCGATTTGTATTCACCACTGAATATCACTCATGCCATTGACCGCTTTCAGAATAACAATATCAATTTCCAAGTCAAAGTTGCTAATTCAATTCAATTACCCATTGAAAACTTCGGACTTAATTAATTCAAGTAGAAAACGTTGCTTCAGTCAGCAACTTTCTGACTTACACATTGATAAAATAAATTATATCCAGCTACAAGTACAGGTGTGGATGTCAGGGCGAGTGCAAAAAAGAAGTGGTGTGCCCCCGAAGCTGCGTAATGAGCTTTTCGGTGATTTTTACAACGGCGCGAAGTCACGATAAACAATGAGAAAAAGATTAACGCTTCGCTTCAGGTGCGGCTGCAATTTCGCTCGTCGATATAGCACATGCTCATCCGTTCTGGCCAGTGGACACAACGCTTTTGAATCGATTCGCTTCCATTGTCGCCACACGAATCTCCAATCTGCAAATCAGCGAGTAACTTTCAGTCAGCAAACCAGATTCTGAAGTGCTTGTGTGTTTTTGACAAAAAGCGACAGATTATGGCGGAAACACAGGTTTAGAGATGAAAAAGCACATCTAGCTTCGACTATGGATGAATATTGAACATTCATTGCATTGTGGGTGTGGTTGAGAAACTACTTTATGTAAAAACTTGGAATTCTGTCTTTCTTTATCTGACTGAAACACGAACGTTGACTTGCCAGGAAATATGAGCAAGATATTGTTACCATATAATCTCGAAAAGCTGAAGCCGGTAATTAATTGCGAACGATAATTTCCAACATCACTCGAATGGATGTCACTCATGATGAAGTTACGCAAAACTACTCTAAGACCAAATTTCACGGCATATTGCACCGCTCCCTCGCTTCTAGTTGCTCCATAGCATTTGAGCACCTGAAATACCAGATGCATCTCTCATTACTTTGTTCTTCAGAGCCGCGTCACGCTCATTATGAACGTTGCTGCAAAAGCCGGTATTCGTTATATGCCACTACATAAATATAAAATATGTTCGTGCGCCGGAGTATATCGAATAGCACGAAATTCCTTCGAAACCAGATCGCATGTGATGAACACGAAGTGGCTCTAGCGAGTAAATTAATTTCGGTG